AGCTGCAGTTGCGCTGCCCTAAAAAGCTGCTGCGGGGAAGCAGCTGCGGGGAAACTGTCTGCCTGTTTGGTGCAGCTGTGTGAAACCCGCTGTCGGACAGTTGTTTTTGAAAAGATGACCATACTATCCATATTTAGTAAAACTGTTTAAAAGAAGACTGTAACAAACATATTTTGAAACTTCAGTGAGCACCGAAAGTGCTAACAATTTTTATTTAGGAATAAGAACACATATGCATTGCATTGATTACATGTCACAAATATTGGTATAACTAAATAGAAGTCACATGTAACTCAATAAAATGAGTTTGGATTAGAAAAATAAAATGCAATACTTACCCACATTACTAAGCTTTGATCGCCCTTAATGCCATCAGAGCTGATAGGTTCCCTTCATGAAATAAGTTCAAGAAGCAGAACACGAAAGGCATAAACATATGTTTTTGTACTGATCTGTCCAAACATAAAATATTGAGAAAGAATTTGAGGTGAATCACCTAATTGCATTGCTGCTCTTGGATTCCCCAAGGATTAAATATGAGGCGGAGCAAACTTTATAACCAAATCTATCTATACATAATGAAAAAGAAAATGAGTGCTAGGAAATTCAAGGGATAGAAACGATTCAGAGCATAAGGTTGTCAATTTGAAGAAAAAGACACTTGCTCTAGGTGGAAGAAACCTTCGTTTGCTTTGCGCATAGGCTCCAACTGGTCCAAGTATCGGTCCGCACCCAACCTGCAGCTTCTCAGTTTTTCAGCTGCAGCTACGCTGCCCCAGAAAGCTGCTGCGGGGAAGCTGTCATTCGTTAAGAATTGCTTCCTTAAGTTTCTCCTCTACCTGCTTTTCCCATCCAGCCAAATCGACACAATCGAGAGATCGACAGAGGTGATCGAGGCCGAGAGATGAAGGGGTGCGAGCTATGCGATCGGGCAGCGAGGATGTACTGCGAATCAGGGGAGTGAGACGACGAACTGCCGAACTGTCGGAGAAGAGGAACGAACAAAGAGAAGACGAACTAACGAACAAACAACGCGAACAAAAGGGCAACTATGTCAAAATGGAGTCGCCAAACGCGTGCCGCGGGGTCGATCATGTGACCCGCTTTTTGCAAAAATCCTCCCTACGGCAACCGCAAAGTTGATCTGCCGCACCCCCAAATAATAGATCTGAGCGGTGGAGTGCCGCGAAGCTGTCCAGCCATGCTCCCAAACGAAGCCTAAATGAAGCCTTAAAAAGCTTACATTTCAAAAAAACTGACAATCATGAAAGAAAAACTCAGATCTAAATTTTATAACAAGTTGGGAAGTTTTAATGAAATAAGTGAGAAAATAATTAAATTTGACTTGTTGCATGCTAGAACTCCAAATACATGGGCAGCAACGTCTGAGATCCCCATCACTCCCATCGCTGTCATATAAAAACTATGAATAACCTAATAAAGAAAAACATCCATTTTTAACCAAAAAAGTGATAGAGAACATCATCCTTTTAGCAAATCCCAGAAGGGAGGGAATGAAAAGGAATCAACAAAAAGAAAATGAATAGTGGAGAAGGAAGAACTCCTGGTTCTTTATTATGTTTGTGAGCTTGTTGCAACCTTCCTACACCAACCACTGTCGTGTTGCTTAGCAGTCTCGTGAAGACTTATGCCATCTCTTGAGAGAGCAAGAAAAAATTTTTATCACTAAAAACTCATACATTAATATATGTGTGTGGGCTACAAAATTGTGGGTCTTGGCCTCGCTCAAAATGGTGAGTGACTTTACTATATTGTGGTTAAATTTTTAGACTGCATATGAGATTATAGATAAGACACTACTACTCGGAGGTTTCTCTCTCACTTTATAGATTTCAAGGTTTGAGATTTCTTATAAGAGAATGCCCATAAGATAAATTACCCTGAGGTGTGTCAATTCAGGGTTGTTGGTTTGGTTCAGGTTCGACCTGAAATTGACATGACATTGACACGACTTGAATAGTTTTATCTTGATACTGGGCTTTTAAAAAAAAATCCTATATTACTTGAAACGATCGTATGCTTGCGTAATTCCCCTAGTGTCTAAACTATTTATCAAATTCTAAGTTTTATAATATATCTATTGTACACACTAGCCGCTAAAATATATTGGGTCAAGTTTTTTTGTCATCTTTTAGAAACTAAATAACTACATAATTGCGGGTCGGGTTAGTTCTTATCTAAAATTATGTCACTTACAACTTGATCTCCAGAAGATATACCCTTCATCGGCGTTAGATCCACAATAATCTTATCCCAACACAAAATTTAAACATTGAAGTCATCTATAAAATCAACATCTAATCAATAAAAAAGATTCATAAAATTTAAAAGTAGAAAGAACAAAAAATATATGCATAAAAAAAAACTCTTCAACAGAAAGGTGCAAATCAACAATAGACAGAAGAAGACAGTGTTCTAACCCTTCTAACATGCCAGAAAGGCGAGCCTACACCAGATCATTCAAGTCAAGTCGTGCTTTCCCAGGTAAGAAAGCCTCCGGTTCAACAAAGAACTTCCCTTCCATCAAGCTTTCCTTGTAAAAGGATGCCAAGAAACTATGTTCCACCTTAATGAGCTTATAGATGAATCCCCTCAAGAATTTCTTTCACGTTCAATATTTTTGCTTCCTTTTGAGGCCTTCTTTCAATATCAACTTAAACTCTTCATCCATTCACAAACGAGTTTCCTGCCCTCTTTGACGAAGAATCTCCTTCACATGGACGAGAGTAAATCTCATATCTTTCAGAAGAACTTTACTTTCTCTCAAAGGCAAAAATTGTCCGATGAAATGAACAAAGATCCACTATTGTTCCTATGTGACCTCATAAATAACCCCAATGAAGTGCAATTATTTAAGTTTGAATAAATACCATAGTTAAAACCCTTTATGACACTTAACTTCAGTAAACATTTTTTAAAACAATTTGTACGATCTTACAAGAAAAACATCCTGATGTAGAATGTGTTTGAACTCGCTTCTTCAAAGCATAATCACCTAAGCAAATTTGAGTAGTACTCTCACCAGACCTCAATAGGTAGAATGGGTAAATCTGAATAGATGCTTCCCACAAGTGAGCCAAGGTACCCGAGGAAAGAGCAGATTTCAATTAATAACATAAATCCAGATATAATATCTATCGAAGAATCATAGAATGTCCCCGGGCGAAGGTTGGTTCTAAAATGTTATTGAAAATAAAGAAATCCAATTCCTCACAAAACAAACTTATGAGCTCCTAAGGATAAAAGAATTCAATCCTAAGATAAGCCTCATCATCGCCTCAAATGTATCAAAGAAGTAAAATGATCTTCATCCTCACATTCTTTTTGCAAATATCTGATCGAAGAGATGAGAGAATCAAAGAACTAAATGTATACAAAAATACAAATATACAAAATTTTTGATAAATATCTTTTACTAAATCAAGCCTATTGTCGAAGTGGTTGAATCAATCATATTTGTCGAAGAAGTTGAATCAAGCGCACCTACTGAAGTGGCTGAATCGAGCACACCTATCAAACTGACTTAATCGAGCCCACTTATCGAAATGGATGAACCAAGCTCACTTATCGATCCAAACATTTTCAAATTCCTCAAAGGGATAACCTAGCTCACCTACTCAAGGGCAACTATCAGAGGAAGCTTTCATGACTAATAAGAAGTAATTATGACCAATAAGGACATTCATTAATCTCTTATTAAAGACAACACCTAATATTACACTGATTTCAAATATTTTATTAAATTTCTCTCTTATGTATAAAATTAGAGAGGAAAGGATAGGGAGGGGATCTCCTCTTCTCTTTGGATCCTTCTTCTTTCCTCTCTCTGTGGAGATCATTTTTCATCTTCATTTTCTTTTTTTCTATCTCCGAAATCCTATAACTTACGGAAACTCAAATGAGCCGCCTCTCTCTGACTTATCGGAGATTGGAATTTAATATATTTCCTATAGTTCCCTGAAAAGACACCTCCGTCTGTCTTTCCCATCATTATATCTACAATAAAAGGTTTTTTTACCGGGTTATATGTACTCACAAACGATACGAGACCCTATGCCTCAAAATGATTCAACACTCTAGATTAAAATTTACTTATTATGATATATACAAAATCAAATCTCACTTTTATTTTAGTTGTAGAGTCGTTCAACTATTTCACTTGCACTTGTTGCATCCAATTTTTTTCATGAAAGCATACACATGCCTAAAACTAGTGAACGCGACAAAGTTTAAAAGAATCTATGGCATTAAATCTCAATATCAGCGACCTATCTAAGAAAAAAAGAGTGTCCTTAATATTAACTCCTCATCTTTATATAGAGATTTTTTTTTTATGTCCTTAATATTAACTCCTCATCTTTATATAGAGAGTTTTTTTATTAAAAATAAACATGAGTAGGGGTGTAGACAAACAGAACATGAGCGAGCCCAGAGCTTGTTTGTGTTTGACTCGTTCGAAATTTTTAATATTGAAAATGAGCTCGTGTTCAAAATGGCTTGTGAATAACCCTATTCCTATTTGGCTTGATTTAACTTCGAATTTGTTCTTATTAGCTCGTTTGACTCAAAGTTGAGCTACATATGGTATGATTTTTATTATAAAATGTTTTCTAAAAAATAGGAGGTGGAAATAGTTGAATCAACTCTCTGTCTTTATAATTCTTAAATCCAAGAAAGAAGATTCTCTATTTTTAAGTACATATACATATACATGCTACCAAAGTCCTATTTATTTACATATCTGACACCTAAACTTTATTTTTTTTTTAAATGTGTGTTTTTAAATAATTTTTAAAATAAAAAATCAATATTTTCAATACATATAGAAATTTAATATAAAAACTATATAGATAAATATTATTATTTAACTATTTAAGCCAGAAAATATAAATAAACAAATATTTGTTAGTGTTCAATTTGTTTATTAATCAAACTAAAAAAAACTATTTATATTTGACTCAATTGCTTAAAGTACGAATCAAACTCAAATTATTTAGGTGCCCAACATAAATTATTCGTGAATAATGATTTTTTGTGACACCCTCTGAACGGTCAGCAAGCAATCTCCTTTCGTCGTCGACATTTTCCATGACCTCTTCTATGCATCCTCGCAGTCTTCTTCTGCCCTACAAAATCTCACCTCCAACCCTGCCACCACCCTCTCTTTCTCGCTCCTACTTTCAATGGCCGAAGCGCCTCCGTCCTCCATCGCCGGCACTTTTTCGCCCCCATTACACCTATCGCCGCCTCCTTACTCACGCCATCAATCTTCCGGCAGAAAATCCCGGCGATCCCACCGAAAGGCTTAACCTTGACAGCATCGTCAGTCATGCACACAAGCTGTTTGACGATTTGCCTCAACCGGTAAAGAAGTTCCCCTGGGCCAAAGCGCTGGAGAGCTTCTTCCGCCTCGTGTTCGAGCTTGCCTGCACGGTGGCTAGGTACCTCTCCATGCCAGTACTGGCTGTCTCCTCTTTGAGCGAGATGTCCTACTGTGGTCACGAAAAGAAGCTGGCCTTAATGCCGTTCCCGTTTCTTATTGGGTTTGCTCTTGCTGGTGTGCTTTCCGACACTGCAATTGAGCTCTCAGTTGGCCTCAAGGTTTGTTCAATATCTGGTGCTGTTTACAATTTTGCTTTTCGATGCTACCTATTGATTTGCTGGATAATGTTGTAGGAAGGAGACCTCCCCTGGCATTTGCTTATGGTTGCGACCTTCTTCTTGTTGCTTAAACTACCTGGCCCGTATTACCCTTATTGGGGCAGATTGCTTGTTCCTCACTTCGCGAATGGTGGATTGTGGAGGACGTTATGGCTTATTTTTTTGTGGTATAGAAGGGCTGGGAGAACTGGAGTTCAAACTGTGCCTTCTGGTCGTGATGGCAGCTCTTGAGAATAAAATTCCAGACTTTGTAGGTAAAAGGCTACATTTTGAGTCGATAGAAGGGCTGGGAGAACTGGAGTTCAAACTGTGCTTTCTGGTCGTGATGGCAGCTCGTGAGAATAAAATTCCGGACTTTGTAGGTAAAAGTCTACATTTTGAGTCGCTTCAAAGAAGTCTTGACAAGTTTTTGTTCACTCTGCGTGCTTCAGGATGGAGTTTAGAATTGCTTTGCCATGACATGCTATTATGAGAGAGTAATATGAGATCAAAATCTTTTTTCTTTCTTAAATTTTTTTCAGATCTTTAATAGTATGTTCTAACATGATAGTTGTAACGTTTAACTCATATTACTCTTTTTTATAGAGATCTTTTCTTGAACTCATAAATATTTTTTGCTTTGCATTATGTTGTATGATATTATCTCATGGAAGGCGCACCAACAAGATGCAAATTATTTAACAAATCTGGAAATTTTATGTTTAACAGTTTATCATACGTGTTATTTTTAATCATGAGGATAATGAACCATTGGAAAGTAGAACAACTAAAGCATCTTTTGTGAGTGTATGTGTTATCATTATTGATTTAGTGTGGCATTGTAGCCAGTTGTGCTGTTTCAGATCTATTAGGTAAAAGTCGCTCTGTGATATTGTCTGTAATGTTCTTAGCTGCATTCATTGATATTTCCATGTCAGCCATCAACCATCATTGTTTATGGTGGAGGTTATTGCCTTCAACTTTTTGTTTGGTATAACCATGAAGCTGAAAGCATGAGAAGAATACTATTTATTCTAATTTGAATTAATATTTAATAGGAACTAGTTCTGTGTTGCTATGTGGCTCCATGAATTAGAAAAGCTATTATGCTGACATTGCATAGGATATAAAGTTAGTGTTGATTCATCCTGGAAGATATCATTTTGGGTTGCACTCTCAGTTGGAGTATGAACTGATTGTTCTTATGATATAAGGAAGAACGAAGTCATTTTTTATTTTTTGTAGAGTAAGCATGTATTGGGAATTTATTTATCTTGGGCATCCTCTATATTCCTAGTACTAGGTTTTTTTCAGCAGGTTTGCATCTATGCAATAAAGCAAAACTAGGTCATATCATTGGAAACCACCTTTTGGTTCCTTCGTTCTCTATGGTGATTAAGCATCTTTCCTTGTTTTTTCAACATTAGAGTTAGGTGTTGGACTTTGATGGGTTGAAATGGACACGAGATCGTTGATAAGGTTTGAGGCATGCACAACTAAGAAGGAAAAGAAGTTTAGAAAGTAGAAGGAAGATGGAAAGAGACGAAGCGGCCGAATGATATTGAAAAAAGTTAGAGAGGTGGGAGGCCTCATCTTAGGCGTGGAATCTATTTACTATATTTGGCTTAATTTTGTTTAAGTGGTTTGATTATGTTTATTTAGTTTTGTTACTCAAAGAAATCTTAAAATCCCTTTGAATTTGTAAGGCCTCTATTTTGAAATTTATGTTATTTAAAGATTAGTTGGTTGTAGTTTGGGCTTCAACCTTGTTGTTGGGATTGACGTTCTTTCAATAATTGTTTGTTAGTTTCTGTTGTTTTTTGAGATTGAGCGTTTGTAGTCACAGGGGCGGAATTAACTTTATTTTTCAGGATGAGCAAAATCATCAAATGTTTAATTGTTTTTAGGCATTGAACAAGAAAATGTATTCAGTAAGGCAAAATTATTAAATCGCCTGCTCTATGTAATAAAAAATTATTAAGTTTTATTGCAAATATAGAAAAATCTCAAGTTTCATGGTGGACAGTTGCTGACCTTAGACATAACCTGAGTCCACTCCTACTTGTAGATCCTAGTAGTTGACCGCTAGAGACTTGTTGGAGCGAGCTTTTAGAAGATCACTAGACCTCAAGATCTTTTTTGTAGCTCCCTTGAAACCTTTTGAAAATTTAGTTTGCCGTCAACCGTGACTTTTTGGAGCCACATGCACTCCTACAACTTTATATTGATTTCATTTGTTACATTTTCTGCACAAAAGATGAAGCCTTTGCTTTTAGGGGGGTTTATGCAGTTTATGATATGTGTCGATTTCTAAACAAAACTTAACAATATAAAATTTTGCTAATTTCAACATTTTCGCAATGCAAGTGTGATGAGCAAGTAATCTAATGAAGCCCAACGATAAAACTATACATTCGCTCTTCTGCTGATACATCCTGTACAACATTAATTAGAAACTGTTACGATGCTCTTCAGATGAGCCCATTGGATGAATCACTCAAGTTCTGCTTGGTTTGATTGGTTCTTGAAAATTAATATACCCATTTCACATTAGTATTACCTATTTCGAACTAGAATAGTAAGTGATAATGATATTTTTTTTTGTTTTGCTTGATTTTATTCATATATTACGTTTGAAACCATGATTGCTATCATCTAACTAATCATAGAAAGGACTGTATAACTTTGTGAGTGCTCTTCAGCTGCTTTAGACTTTTCCTCTTGAGGA